CCCACCCCTGAGCCCCACAGTGTAATACCTGGCCAGATAGAGAGCACTTGCGGCCTTGAGGGAGGGCAGGACGGGAACCATGGCAACAGCGGTGATGGTCAGGTCAAGGATGTAGCGCGCCAGGTGATCCACCTAGAAACAGACAAAAATAATTATTTAAATGATTTCTGGCACTGCTAGATCAACCTTCTCTTCTGTTGTTGTTTTTGGGGATGCTTTTTTTCTCCTATCGACCCAGTAACGGCTATTTAGCGCAAGGAAATAGGAAGGCAGATAAACAGAAATATCAAACAGGGAGAAAAGGAGTAAGGGCTGCCAGGGGTTTTGGCCCGGGAAATGTTCAGAATCGCTTAACATGCTCTAAAAGAAAAACAAATGTATATTTCACCATTGCTATCCTGGTCTTTTCACGTCAGCCACCTGTCTTACGGTTCCTACTCATGAGTTATTTTTATAGGTTAAAAGAAGTTTCTGTAAGTTATTTCTATATATGTAAGTAATTTCTATGTAAGGAGTTTGTATAGGTAAGTAATAGTTTCCAGCGGAACATATTTTCTACAGACAAGAAACTTCTATAGGTGAGCAATTTCTACAGGTGAGTAATATCCATAGGTAAACAATTTCTATAGGAAAGTAATTTTTATAGGTAAGTAAATGCTATTAGGTAGGTAATTTCTAGAGGTAAGGAGAATATTCTTGCACTCTCGTTTTTGGTCTACTCCTGTGGGGCGATCAGCGCTTAATGTAAAGAGAAGAACAAGACAGCTTGTAGACACACAAAAAAACGGCAAAAGAGGGAAGGAAGAGGAGGACCTTCCACTGGCACCCTCTAACCACCCGATCGTGAAAACGTTTACAACATTTATACAGACGGACCCCTCTAGAGTGTTGGTAAATCTGGCGCTAAAGAACAAGGAGGGCACCCAACAAGCACCAGTCGTGGGTTTTTTTTTAATGGGTTTGTTTAACGCCCCTATCAACATTATTAGGTTATTTAAGAGGCGGAACCTCCAAGTTTAACGTCCATCTGCTAAAGGGCTGAGTCAAATTGGAATTTCGGGTAAAGTGCCTTCCCCAAGGACACATCGTCGGACCGAGCAGAGGCTCGAACCCCCGAACACATAATTTCACGATTACAAGTCGGTAGCCTAAAACGGGGTGCCCACTACGGCTGGGATCGGCCGATC